ATATCTCTCCCTCCCCCTCCCCCTCCCCCTATCTCTCTCTCTTCACGGACATGTACACGCACAAACAAAAATAAACTTTTGTAAACTTCCTCCAAACAACGGTTTTCTCTCGGGGTCCGCTGAGTTATCACATTGCACGACGCATCACAAAATGCTTATAGAATACATATCTTTAAGACATAGCGATATACAAAAAAAAATATCATGTTTTTTCCAAAACATACATTAATACAATTTTCATCACGCGTGCACGTAATGTACGCAATAACTTAACGCTTTTGCGTACGATAAATAGCCAATAACTCAACGGCTTGAGTTATTACTCTAACCCCACTTTTCTGCGCAAAAACGTTGCTGTATTGGGCACATTACGACGAGCACTTGTAATGAAAAATTCTGTGTGTAACTCATATGCTCAGTTGTTTATTGCGTCGCACAATAAACAACTTACCATACATGTTACACAATGTACTATTTCATCATTCGGTATTGAATAATTTTGTCAACTAATTTGCGTCGTTAACTCTCGAACGCGGAAAACTCATGCATCGCGCGTTTACTTTACTAAAAACACATATAGTCTTATAGACAGGCGCTTGTTTGGTCGATCGTATGTCATTTTTACGTCGAAGATGTCGCCTTAGCTTAATTAAGTAAATACATTCTTCCTGTAACAAGTCCTCACACTTATTACTTTAAGGTTGAATAAACGCTAATCAATCAATAAAATTTATCTGCAGCTGCCAAATGCGTGAAATGAGTTCGTGTTTGTTGTCAGTATCTGCGACTCACTGCATAAATAAATTACACGAGAATCACGTGCTTAAAAAGACCAGAACACAAATCACGATCCAAATGTGACTTCGCCCAGGTAAATCGTTCAGTAGTATTTGTCTTGATCGAGATCGGCACGGATGTGTTGCTGGCCATGACTGTTACGCTTCAGGGTAGCGGATTCATAATCGAGACTCTTTGGATATAACTTGGGACTGCCGAGACCATTGACATTGGGATTGTTCTTGCCACGTAGAGTACCGTTTCCGTTGGTGCTACCCGAAAAACTGGGCTGCCGCTTCGCGTTCACCTGTAAAAATTAGTTTCTCTGAAGTATCCGCCAAGCGCAATTAGTAATCAAATATGTTTCTTAAGTCTTACCTCTTTCAGAGGCACGATAACGTAAGAATTCTGTTTACTGATGTAATGCGGGCTCCCTGGAATGCTCGGCTTGCGTCGCTTCAAATAGCAAAAGCATAACACTGCGGTTAAGGCCAAACCAATGGTGAAACTGAGTACACAGCCGCCCACCGCTGCGCCCACCGTGACACCCGAACTCTCTACGCTTGAAGGTAAAGCGTTTACGTCTAAAAAATATATTAAGAACCGGTTTTTAATTAATATTAGTATTGTTTGCGATGCGGTACTTTATAATCGTGGTGAGTTTCTTTATTCTCGGGATGTAATCTTAGTTCTTTGGAAATTAGTTTTCACAATTTATTATTTCTGATATTTTCAATTTTTCTTCTTTTTCTTTTTCGTCCATTTAATTTTGTCTGTTATTTATTCTGTATCTTAATTATCACGACGTGGAGAAGCTCACCATTGATTGAAAAATTGTATTGATTAATTATATTAATTAGTTTGTTCTCTGAAGAGGGCTAAAAGTTAGCCGAAACACGTAAGAACGTTATTCAAATAAATGATTTTTATCACTTATTAGTGGTGTTTTTAATTGCGCAACATTTTCTGCGCCCGACTCCTATTGCTCTTTATTCTCTCCAATTCGTTTTTGAATTGTATAAGGAGTCTTAATTGATTTTATTATTATAAGGTTTAAAAAAATATATGCAATACTTAGTAATCTTTAATCAATTAAATTGTTTAAATGTACAAATATATTGTACTTATAAATATATCGTCTTATATACGCCGTAAAATTATCTTAAAATCTCACCATTATCTATGCAGTCTGCAGAAAAGCAATCGCGTGTCTCGCGGGTTACCCCTTGACACATGCCAGGTCCATGCTGAAGACATATTCGCTTTCGGTGTTGTTGATGATCACCATCGCAGGGAGTCCAATACGACCACGTGTCCCAACCAGCTAGCGATTCGCAACTGGTCATCTCGCAGACCTCCTTGTCCAATCTTGGACCGTTGCAACTCTCCGGACCGAGACATTCTCTCGTCCTCGTACGCATTCCAACGCCACAAGTCACTGAACATTCGGACCACTCCGTCCAGCATGACCATTGACTTTCCGCCGTATTACCGTGACAGGAGTGCGAATTACAGATTCTGCTCTGCGTGGCGAGACCACCTTCGCAAGGTGGTGATTCGCACTGTCTAACCTGTTAAAAATGTATAGTTTATGTTTTTATATTATATATTAAAAAATTATTAAAATATTTTGATCATTTTAAGTTAAATTATTCATTCTCTATAGAACTAAAAAAATTCTTTGGCGGGCATAATACTTTATTGCATAAAGTAAACTTTATTTTATAATATTAAATTAATTTTTAATTTAGTTTTTAAAAAAATAAGTTAGTTAAACAGAACAAAAATATCCAGTTTCCAAAATGCTTTGTAAAATAATATGATTTTATTTTGGCCAAGATTATATCGAGATAAAACTATGAAAAATATTTACTCTATGTTGGGTACCCTTTCCGCAAGGACGATCGCATGAGCCCCAAGAGGACCATTCGCCCCAGCCATTCTCGTTGATGGACTCCGCGTACGTATCCTTTCCTTTGAGACAAGAACCATCGTTCCTGCAGAAACGTTCCTCTTCTTTAGCGAGTTGCACTCGCACGCTTGACGGATCATCCGTCTGTGCGCGGCAACTAAATCGGAAGCGTTTTTCTAAATAAACCGTGCTGTCGCTTTGTAAACTGGAGTTTACGGTCAACCAAGGAGTCCATCCGGAATATCTTTTCGTCTCGGCGCATTTGTGATTGTTACATTCCTCAATCTAAAATACATTCGGTCTCATCAAACAACTTCTAAAATTTCTATTCGGCTATCAAGAAAGATATAAAAAGAGAGGATATATCTCTCCCACGAGCAATTTGAAACTTGCCTGAAAATCGCAGCCCGGACATTCAACACCACCCTTCTTTGGCGATGGACTGTCACAAGTTCTCTTTCTTAAACGTACTCCTGTAAAGTAGAAATTGTCAATGTTATACCACACAAGAAAGCATAGAATACTTGTGTGTGTGTGTGTTTATATATTATATTATCTCGAACAGTACAAACATTTACAAATGTTTCTTGAGCTGTTTTTTGGATTGTCTGAAATTGTTACTACAATTATGAGAATACTTGGGGAGACTCACCACCGTTGCAAGGCCGTGTACATGCGTGCCATGGACCCCAGATCGACCACTGACCAATTTGAGGCGGTGGGGTGGTTTTAGCGGGGGCAGGACAGGGCGGTAGATCGATGCACATGATATCATCATGATCATGCCCGACGCAAACGCGTCCACCGAATGCAGGTGCTGGATTCGTGCAAGTCCGCCGGCGGGTTTTCATTGCGAAACCGCAGGTCTGAGAGCACGCTGACCAAGCCGACCAAGCGGTCCAACCGCCATGGACAGTGCAATTTGTTACTCTAACCCGCGTACCCGTGCAACTCTCGCCACCGTGCTGTGGTGGAGGATTATTGCATTCTCTGGTTTGGCATTGACACGTGTCGATCTTCTGTAGATTAAATTTTGAGCCTATGAATTCGACGACTTTACGATAGAAAAGCTTATAATCAAATTGTTTTTAATAAAAATAAAATAAAATATGGATTTCCAATTTTATTTTTCTCTAAATCTTAAATTCAATCATTTCTGATCAATTCCGTTTGCAAAAAAAAATAATATTTTTTACATTTCGATAAATAACGTAATAAATACATATGTTCACAAACCTCTGCATGTTCGCTGTGCAAGTGCGAGTGTACGTGACCGTGTCCTAGTGACTGTTCTCCTGTGCCATGTTGGCAGGGTGACCAAGGACTCCACGCACTCCAACCTCCATCAACAGGATCGGTAAGCACCGGACACTTGGTAACTTCCTGATGCCAATGATTTGCCAAATAATTATATTGATAATTTTGCTTCGGTGCCTCTGCGCACTTCATGAGAAGTTCGTTCCACCCGCAATACGGCTCCTGGGCGTTCAAGCACGCTTGACGGCTCCGATGACGATAACACTGAACGGCAGGTATGCTAAACGACGAGAAGCATTACGATGTGGTTTAACGAAGCATTTAACATTAACAATATTTGCTGTTTACGATAATGTACGTAATTTACGATTGAATGACATCTATCTATTTAGGATGATATAATTCAGACGATATTATCAGTACCATTTAGATGACATTATAGATTAATTTTTATTTTCGACAAGATAATATCGTTCGCAATGAGTTTAGCTAATCAATTTTTGCGATTACGATTAAAGTAATTATATCTTACCGCAAAAGGCCAATTTCCATGCCAACATAGAGGCTTTGCGTATCCTTAAGAAATTGCATCGTCATCGGCAGTGAGGGTAAGGACCCCCAAACTTCAACAATGCAGGTCTCCTGCGTCCTAGGCAGAACTGAGATCTTTTTGATTAGACCGGTTGCCGTGGCGACATAGAGAACAGTCACGCTGCGATGCAACTTGGTCGGAGTAACGTCCACCGCGATGTGGGTGAATCGCTCGAGGGTCACGGTGTGCAGCGGCTCCAGCATTATGCTCTGCACCGCCTCGTCCATCAACTGGTACCGTTGATTGTCCATGATTTGGTGCGGCGCGGTATCAGATAAAGGTCCACAGCGCTGGCGATTATCATGGGCGACCGGTCTCCTTTCCCAGGCAGCACCCGCGTTTTCTTGATACTTAAAAGGTCCGTTAAAACTGGCGTCGACGGCAGACATGTTGAACGCGCAGATAGCCGAGCCTGCGATGCCGTTACTGCGACGGAGGAAAAAGATTTCATTTAATGCTGGTTTCTTCTTTGAGAAATCGTAATCTTCCTTATGCGAAAAAGCATTCCGTTGTATTCAAGCGATAAAGAACATTAAGACGAAGGAATTGGCGATCGCGCATAACGCTGGTAAACGATGAACTTCAAATAACTTAGAATATTAAAGATAAATGGCTCAAAGATGTAAATTTCTACATAAAGCTAATAGAAATGTATAAATTATTCAATTCAAAATTTTTTAATAATTTAAACTTGAATTTCTAGGATTCGAATTTAAACTATTCAAAAATTTCGAATTTGAATATTCAAATATACGATTGACAATCTTATTAACAATAATTATGATATTAATTAAAATTTTATTTCAACAATTTGACTTAATTCCATTTGATTTAAAAAAAAAAAAAAGCATTAGAAAACCTTATACATCTCTATCCCGGAAATTTAACAGGCCACATGAACATAAATAAAACTGCCAACTTTTTCGTGCGACTTCCATAAATACTTAATTGTTTAACTAAAATTAATCAATGTTGCTTTAAAATAAAGTCTGTGTTGCATATCGTGTAATCAATTTGTCATTTACCATCTTATGTGTCCATCTGGGATTGTGCACAAACATAAACACAGATGATAATTAATGCGCCTTCGGATTAATCGGTTTGCTGAATGATACTCACATTGGAGTTGTGAAGGTCGCGTAAATGATTCCCTCTTCTTGATGATAAGCCGCACCTTGGATTTCATCATAATAAAATGGGAATTCGCCGGGAAGAGAACAATTCAAGCGAGCCTTGCTGAAAGTCGTCCATACGTCTTTCATCATGATTTGTCCACCTCGGTCGTTTTTACAGACTCTTGCTATCCTCGAATATATTTTCTACAGCGAAACATTGTAATGTACGATTAAATTTTAACGGATACAAATCTCACTAATTTTAAAAAATTATTAATTCTGATAGCAAAATCTACGGACACCGATTTTGAGCAAAGCCTGTTACCAATTTTTGACTGCAGAAAGGCAACAAATTGTACACAAAGTTTGTTATTATTTGACATTGTTGCTGTCAGAAATACAATATGACAGAGTCTACTAGACATGCTATGACAGCGGATTGAGAGCAGATTGAAAACAGAACTTGATTCGAGAAGGTTTTTCTCGGTTTCTATTATCAATCTGCTGAGATGGCCTTTCAGCAAGGTTGTCGACATAGCCAAATGTGAACACAGATGGCTACGGTAGTCAAAATCTGATCAAGTTTGTTGCCAAATTTGTTACCATTTAGTACCAAATTACTAACATTTTACTATTAGGAAAGACAAAAAACTTAAAAATTAAATTAAGATATTTCAATATTTAAAATAAAAACTATAAAAATTGCGGTTAATAGTACGTACGTAATTAGAACAATTAATATTATATAACATTTATTAGTAAGTTACACAGTATGTCACATTAGTCAAATTAGTGAGTACGGTTACATAACGGGCAACTAGATCCGACAATTTGCAACTATACCTATTAGTACATTTCTGCTCCGAATTGGAACCATTCTCAGCGAAAATAATATCAAAGGGTTTAATAAGTGTTATGTTTCACATTTATAACTCAGATTATTGCACCCAACTCAAAACACAACACTTATTAAGTTTTCTGATTTACATACTTTTGCTGAAAATGATTCGAGTTCATAGACAAAACGTTCGAATATATTAGTTGTAAGTTGTTGGATCTAATTATCAGTTATGTAATTGTTAGACTTATTAATAAATCATACGAGGATCGTTCAATAAGTCCTTAGAAAATCCAAGAGAAGGCGCTCGTAGTATCGAAAATGAATTTTTCCCAGTAAGCAGCACTTCTAACTAGTCAGCTGTTAGAGTTTCAGCCATATCCATCAAGTAGTTTCATTTGAAACGGAAAAAGATCCTCTTTCATCAAGACAATGCTCAAGGGTGCACATCTGCGCAGTTACGATGGCCAAAATTATGGAATTAAAGTTTCAATTATTACAACATCCACCGTATTCACCAGATTTGGCCCCCAGTGACTTTTTCTTATTTCCAAACTTGAAGAAATGGCTTGGCGGACAACGGTTTACGTCTAACGAGGAGGTTATCGCCCAAACAAATGCCTATTTTGAAGAGCTTCCGAAATCCTACTTTTTGGACGGCTTAAAAAATTTGGAAAAACGCTTAGAAAAATGTATAGAGCTGGAAGGAAATTATGTGTTGAAAAATAAAAAAAAATCTACCCAAAAAAAATTCTTTTTCTACTTTTTTCTAAGGACTTATTGAACGACCCTCATATATTAATTAATCTAATTATGCATTACTAACTACATCGACTCTTATATAGTTCTTGTGTTTTAAATACATTATTAAAAAATTATATATAATATTAAGAAAAGCAATTATATCATATCTCTTGATTTGACGAAAGATGAAACAAAAAGTAAAAAATGAATAAAAAGTATCTTTTAACGATGTTTCATATGATCGTTGACTTTTTGATATTCACGAAGCGACGTCGAGTGAATTAAATCCGCCACGGTAAGGCGAAGTTCAACCTCGATCATGATCGAGGTATGATCGCGCGCAGCCGGATGCAGAGTGTTTCATTAAAGCCATCCCTAGGCGCCAATTTGTGCGGCGATAGGTTGAGAAAATGATAAACATCGCGCGAACTAAGATCATGTCAGGGATGATAATTTTTCTGCCGCGTGAGAGAGAAAGATCCGCGACGCGCGTCGTTCGTTTCGACCAACACCGTAAACGGTTAATTATACGGCTGACGCAAGTCAGAAGAGACGAGATCGCTAATCGCGCGAATGACTCCTCGCGTGTTCCGTGTATGATAGAAGACTCGCGCTGGCGCGCGCGTCATGGCGGATTACTCTGCGGCATCGATCTTACCTTGCCGCAGTTGATGTATTCCACGGCAGATTCGCGAAATAGAAAGTACACGTGATCCTCCGTATCGAAGCTGCCGACGAATTGCGGATCGTTCAGCCACCTAAAAGGAAAGCGCAAACTTAGAGAGAACGGGATTCAAATATGGTAAATATCACGAGGCGATAAGCAAGACCAACAATCTTGTAACGCAGTTATTACGATAAAATTAATCTCGTTTGTTTTTCAATATATATAACTGCAAGAAGAATTTCATTATAATTTCATGGAAAAAGAAATAAAATGAGTTGTAACAAGTTGAGTGTAAAGTTAGCAATATTTTTCAAAACTGATTAGCTCAACGAAGAAATTCGTGCTCTCTTTCTTCCTACAAATTAGAGACTCCCTAATAAGATTCTGAACAAGCTTCTTTTAATTAGTGCCCATAATGTTTTAATAACCCCTAAGAAACAGAAAGAAAGAGAGAAATAGATAAGAAAAAGATAGAATAGTAAATGTATATATCCTTCTCTTTTGCAATTTTATCAAATAAACTACTGTTGCATATAAAATTGCGGCTCTTGTTCAGACTTTAATTAAAGAGTTTCTATTGTAAACGTACTTGGAATCGTATTGTCGAGTCCTGAGGTTCGGGGAGGCCAACGTTCTGTAGATCGCAGGATCAGCTCCGGAGAAATCCGTCCGCGCACCGGCGAAGAGCCCGCCGGAAGGACCCATCGAGAGAAGTGCCGTGACGTTTGCATGCGGCGAGTACGGGCACATAGCCACGCCCGACATCTCGCTGGTCACACTCGTTATGTTCTCGATCTACGGTCATAATTGCTATCGTATAGACTACCACCGTGCGTCCAAGTGGTGCGACTTCGTGTCATTCCTTTCGTGTCGGATGTTAATGGACAGGTAATGGTGGTGATGATCTATTCATTGACGCGCTCAGATCGACAAGCTATGACGATTCGCAAGGGAAAGCATTAGGATCCGAAATAATGAACGAGATTCTACTCGCCTGGACCCGATCGGACAGATTACTTTTGTGAAGAATGTACCTCTCGCCACGCGCACCACGGGCTGAATGCATAAGTGCCGCAGGTGAAGAGGCTCTTGCCGTTGCTGAGGAGCACTTTGATGTAATTACGACAATCCTCGACGCTCTGGCCCTTATTCTGACAGGTGTTGACCTTGTCCTCCGGCGCGGACCAGGAGGCGTGTTCCAAGTCCGTCAGCGATGTCAGCGTCAAGCGGTACAAATTATCCCTGAAAAGACACGCTTTATTTACATTTTCGTCGGCGTGCTCTTCACATGTCATTAAGCGTTCCGCGCGTATATATGAAGGCCGGTCGCTATTAACCCATTAAAGTCCACTGACGTTGCCACTGACCGTCTCTCTACTCGTCGCTTTTGCGACATTGTTTGTCGGTAATATTTTCCGAAGCAAACTTCTTCAGTATTCTACAATCGCTGAAATAAATTATTAATACCGGATCTCACGAAAAATCGAAGCTGCAATTTCTCGAATACGAATCCCGTGGAGAATTATGGGTTTTATTTGATTCATAAATAGATTTTTATGACCTGAAGAACGTTCGCGCAGATGGATTTCATTAAAGAGTTACTAGAAAGACTCATTGAAAGTCATAGCAACCGGTAATTGAGAATGTGACTGGCGATATATAAAACGTATCTCAATTTTAAATCGAGGAAGAATAACCATGACAAGTGACAGTGACGACTGACGAGTAACGACGATAGCTTTATACGAGATATAACGCATTCAGTGAGGAGGTCACCATAAGCCACTTAAAGTATCTCGTCGGTTCATCATTTGTCTTCGAAATATCAGCGCGATTGTGAATACCAATATATTCATAAATTCCAACAACATAGTTGATTATGTTACTCCAATTATCTGATTTGTTTGTTAAAAGGTGTGTTCTACATATCTAAATGAATGCGTTAATATCGCCTTTCGCATTAATGCAACTCAAAAATCATTTTCATGTTACATACACTGCGATACATTGATAGAAGAGATAGATGATTTATTACTGTCAACGTAGACAGTAATTGTTAAACAAAGGTCCTCGTGAAATAAATTCAAACAATTCTCTTCATTTTGGTCTTTAATAATTTAAGTATTTGCGAGAAATAGAAAATTACACATTAATAGTTTTCAACTTAAAGATTTAATAATCTAAGTAATACTTTGTATGTGCGCGAGAACAGGCCTTGAAAGCCTTTTTATAAAAAGACGCAAACGAGAGAAAAATCGTCTGTACGTAAGTCAAGATATAACCAACGCGAGAATTGTAGAATTAATGATTTGTGAGGGACGGTCGAGGACTGAGGACGTCCTACAGCGATCGGAAAGCTGATGGTTTCCTGTGAAACAAACGTGAGTGCGGCTACCTTCCAAGGAATGCGACCGCTTGCGAAAGGTGACGTGCCCGGTATCTCGAGATAAAAAAACCTTGAGAGGAGCGTCACTCGTCGTGCGTTTCATTCCGCGGAGCGTTACGATCGCGTCTCTCGCGGCGCTCGCATCAGGCACTCGTGGCAGTCACGAAGGCGTACTCGGGTTTGACAGCGGCTTCGAGGAGCCCTCGAAAACTCCTCGGACGACATTCCACGGCAGCCCACTTGACTTCAATGCGACGTGTACTCACGCATATGTACGCGAGTGCGTACGGCGCTTCGCCACTGATTGTGAATACGCGAGAGATCAAGCGATTGCTTGGTGCGCGCGTTTTCTTCCAACGTAATCGATAGATTGAACATTCTGGCACTATTAAAGATTTTCGACTTTATCGAGAGATTTTGGATACACGAAAGAATGATTTTGCTAAAATATCTAAATATTTAGATGTTGGATCATCAAAATAATTATGTAGGAAATTGAACCATAATAAGCAATGCTGCAAAAAAATTGACACAAAAGTTTTGGCAGTCTCGCAATCACTTTACACGTTCTATATAATTATTTTGATAATCTAATTATTTTCAAATCTATATTTAGCTAAATTTTTAGATACTTTAGCAAAATTATTCTTTTAAATGGTATATAATTGTTCGGTGAGAATATGTGGAAAAGAGTTTCCTTCGATCAGAGAGCACTGATGTTATTATTATTATTATTATTATTTAATAGAATGTTGTATTTAGAAAGCTTGATTTACGCAAAAACTTCTCATTATGTCTCTTGAAATGTTATTAAACTTCACAGTATAATCAAGCTTAAGCTTTATTATGCGAACGGATGACAGATTTGTACGTTGCGATTTTTATTTACCACGATGAAAGCGGAAGTAAAACTGGTGTACGCAAACGCATGGCATTAGCAAATCTGGTGCGAGAAAACCGCCGGAAGACAGCGATCAACAGTCGCCTCGAGAAGCTCGATAAATAAATTATCATCGGCTTATAAATAACGTACGGAGATATGGTTTGCGCGTGATCGTCCGCATGTCTCTTCTCAGCAAGGAGAAAGACGAAGACGACAACCACGGCGATCGAACAGGAAGTACAGACGGCAGTTGAAGCAGTCACAGATAACCAGTGGATAACTCGACACTCGCCTATGTCCTTTAAGTAGCGACGCAGACGGCGGCGTACCAAAATTTTTTCTCAGCTCCAGTGACGATCGCGATATATGTAAATGTAAATGAACCGCTAAACGCGCGATTGCGATAGCAATTTCGCTGCTTTGTGACAAAAAAAGATAATCTTCAAAGTGGAACGAGTTTTATTGTCCCGTGCGGCCTAGATATCGCCGTATCAAACATTGATTTCAATCAAAAATTGATTGAATACTAAAGCTCCTGATTAATCATCCACAAATCTTCAGATTAATGATGTCAGAAGCAAGAAAATATAATGAAAATTCTTGCGCCAAACATTAAAATAAAAATTTTTTCAATAAAACAATATTTGCTTTTGATAGAGTACTATACTTGCAGCAATGCATAACATGCATCAAAAACTTGTTTTATTTTAAAATAAAATAAAATTATATTTATCTCAACGTTTTCTAGGCATGTTTCAATTTCAAATATATGGTTATATTTATTGATTACCAAAACACAAATATACCAAAAATTTTCGGTATATTTTATAAATTTGTCCTATCAATTGTAAATATTGTTTAAAAAAAATATTCGCATTTTAATACTATACAGGAAGTTTTTAATTTACAATTTTTTTGCTCTTTGAACTTCACAATACAAGATAACTGCAATGAGAATTTAAAGAGGATACAATGATTTCGAAACATCGTGTAAAATTATTCTAATAATAATCGTAACAGTTTTATTAAAAGTTAAGCATTAATTTCAATCGATTTAACAGACAAGTTTATTTTTCTTTCTAAAAATGTCCTCTCTCAGTTTCAACAATCTTTCCGTTTTCTAATGTCATGAGCAAAGGAGTGCTCGTTTTTCAAGGTACATCGCTTTCGCACGCATATATTGCGTACGAATAAAAATGCCTGTGCACTTCTTCATTAGACCGTTTGATAATTGCGCGTCGGCATAGACCTTTTGTCAAATCGATAAACTCAATTTATTCATGATTGCCATGCTGCAACTTGCAATCCACTAGCTGCGCTATACCCGACACACATGCATAAACGTCATCCGTGCTGCATTCTACTCGATGCTCCGGGGGACTGTGGTCCCGCGGCATTCATTGGACTTCTCTATCAATCCTATTCAGCCATTGGGTTAATAGTCTCGATCTGACATACTGTGCCTGCAATACAGAGTTGTCCTGCACTTCCTTTCACCAAGGAAGAGAGAGATTTCTTTAAAAATTTGATTTAACATCAACCGCATTTGGTATTCAATTTTGAATATTATGTATATATGGAACATTCCACGTCAACTCAGACAGACCTCCAGACAAAATTTGGCTTGATGGATTTAAACGTTCAAGGGCTTAAAAAATTTGTACATCTGTGTACTTTTAAATGCTGATGGGCTTCTTTCAAAAATTTTAATGTCGGCGCTATTATGGCTGATAAAAGTCAACAAATTCCAAAATTTAAAACTAACTTCGTACAATAAAACTCGAAAAATTCTTTAATTATTCTGAAATTCTGTATCTAAAAGTTTTTTGGGTCGCCGAATGTAAATCTGATGTCAGTTTTCAAAAATTCAAAATGGCAAATCCAAAAATGGCGGACAAAAAGCCTCCGCAAAAAATGCCCGTTTTCGATACCTTTTCGATTTTTGAAACTTTTATTATGCCAAATAGTGACATATGATGACCCAATAATCCCTGTAAAATTTCAAGATGAGCATACAGCCCGTTTAGGAAATAGGTGGGGGGTTAAAGTTGACCATGTCCAATAAAAAAATATAGCAATTCCACATTTGAATTCGAACAATAACGTCTAAAAAATTCAGCCTAAATGGATCTTTTAAGATTTTTGGCTGATGATTATAAATATGAAGACATATTTACAAAATTCAAAATGGCGGATCCAATATGGCGGACAAATTTTGTTAAAATTCATTGGATCTACTCGAAACTTGTTACCCGGGATTTTTGGGGTCGCTGATTACGAATTTGAAGTCAATTTAAAATTGACTTTTTGTTGGGTGGATTGTTTATTACATCTTGCGCCTTTATTGGATGTATTGGATTCGCCATTTGTAATTTTTTTAAATTGACTTCAAATTCGTAATCAACGACCCCAAAAACCCCCGAGTAACAAATTTCAAATAGATCCAATGAATTTTAACAAAATTTGTCCGCCATATTGGATCCGCCATTTTGAATTTTGTAAATATGTCTTCATATTTATAATCATCAGCCAAAAATCTTAAAAGATCCATTTAGGCTGAATTTTTTAGACGTTATTGTTCGAATTCAAATGTGGAATTGCTATATTTTTTTATTGAACATGGTCAACTTTAACCCCTCCCCCCCTATTTCCTAAACGGGCTGTATGCTCATCTTGAAATTTTGCAGGGATTATTGGGTCATCATATGTAACTATTTGGCATAATAAAAGTTTCAAAAATCGAGGTACCGAAAACGGGCATTTTTTGCATGGAGCTTGCGGAGGCTCTTTGATAAATCGATCGGATTTTATTAAAATTTGTTACTCGTGGGTTTTTGGGGTTGGTGATTATGAATCTGAAGTCGCGTTCCAGACATTCAAAACTTCGGGTCGAATACGACTAAAATAAAAATGTGTCCTGCTCTCGGCATTACCCAGGATCAACGACGTGGACGTAACAGGAAACTGATCCCT